TTAATATTTATTATATAAATATTATTATTATTATTTAAGAAAATTGATTTAAATATAAATAATGAATATTTATAAGATTTCTTTTATTTTAATAACTAAACTTTTATCTTTTAGAAAATATAGATGTTATAAAATAAGCAAGAAAAAGTTGTTTTATTTTCGATTCAACCAAGTTAAATTAAAGAATTTGATCATGATATCATAGTTGAAAGTGAATAAATTTCATTCATTAATACTGAATTTTAGTGTTAGGGAGAAAATAAAAAACAATTTAAAGATAATAAATGTTTAAAATTAAATAATTAAAAAAGAGAAGATATTATAATAAGTTTTATTCCTGATTATATTATAAATTCAAAAGATGTAATTAATTAATTAAAATTTAATATAATAATATATCAATATATAAATATATATTTATATATTATATATATATATATATTTATACAAAAGTTTATTAATAATTGTTTCTATTAAAATATAAATGATAAAAATAATTTTAATCACTAGTTTTTAAATGAAATAACTAAATAGTGGTATAGTCCCCCTTAACATTTTATTGTTTCAACATGTTATGGACTTTCTTTTTACTTTAAATAAAGACCTATTGATTTTCTTTTTCAGATTATATTATTGATTCCTGAATAGATTTTATTTTTAAATTTCTATAATGAAGATTTATAATTTTTTTTTAATGTTTTTGAAGAGTTTTTAATTTCGTATGGATATTAGGAAACTTTTGGAATGTTAATAGTTATTCTATGTGAATAAAAAATGCAATTTTATGTATATTTTTTATTTTATTTCATTATTTATTAATTTTAAAATTATTAGTGTACTGTTTAAACTCATAATATGTTAAAAAGTAATATTTTGTCAACTATTTCAAATAAAGAATACTTCGAATAAATTTTAAATTTAAACTTTTCTTAATTCTTAGAAAAAATACACTAGCATATTTAATAAAATGAAGTCGAATTTAAGAGAGAACGCTTTTTGAATATTTTTATTTGTGAAGTTGATTAATAAATAATATAAAAGATTAATTTTTTATATGAAAAAGTAATAATATATAAGATTTATTATATAAAAAAAAAAATTTAGTATGGAAATATAAAACTTTGTGAATAATAAAAAATTAAAGTTTTTGTAATTTAGGTATAGGAGGCGTTATTGAGAAACAATAGCCTAAAATAAGTTTAAAATCTAAAGGAATTTTATTGTATTTGAGCAGAATTATATATAATATTTATAAAAATAATTACTTAGATTAATATATTAATTAGAGAATGTTTGAAAAATTGAAAGAGAATAACTAGTAATTGATTGAAAAATTATAAAAAATAATCTAAATGATCGAAAATATATTAAAAACTATAAATATTTTACCAAAAAATGAATAATTTTGCGAAAAATATATTCTTGAGAATATTTAATAATTTATTTTGAGTTTAATTCAATATTAAAATTTTATAGAAAAGCTTATATTATAATATATTTAAGATTTAGAAACAAAACATGATTTTAAAAATATAGGAATCAATAATTTAAGCTTTAAACTTTATTTAGAAAATGATTTTTTTAAAAAAACTTTAATAAATTACGGATATTAAAAAATTATTAAATAAAAAAACGTTTTTAATAAATTTTCTTTTATTTATGATGAAAATTCTCTATTACTTCTTGAAATGCAAAAAAACTTAAATTTATGTTTTTTAAAAAAAAATAAAGAAGAAAATAAAATTTAAATTGAAAAATATACTAATTAACATCATTAAAATTGCTATTATATACCTTCTTGCTAAATTTATTAGTTTTATAAAATTTTCAAATAAAATAATCAAGTTTTTGAGCTTTGTTATTGTATTATTTAGTGTTATAAAGATTTGAATATAGTTATTAATTAATTTAGTAAAGAATTATTATAGATATATATATATATATAAATTTAAAATTAATTTATATATATATATATATATATATATATATATATATATATATATATATATATATATTTACTTATTTATTTTTATATATATTCATATTTTTTAAAATAATAAAAAAAATTAGGAAATGCATTATTTAATAACGAAAATTGTTTATTTTAAGAAAACTAAGAATTAATTCAAAAAAATATAATTGAAAAATACATTAGTTTAAATAAAGATTATAAAAAATATATAATAAAGTCCTTAGGATATATTATTTTTTAATTAATAAAAAATGAAATTGAAATCAATTAACAAGAACTTACTTTGGGATTTTCAAATGAATTAAAAAGAATTGATAATGATAATTTAAAAGTAATTTTCTTTTTTATATTTAATTAGATTTTAAATAGATATATGAAGATTTTATTTCTTTAAGGTCATATATTTAAACTTTAAACATTCAAAAAATAAATAAGTTTTCTTATAAGAAATTTAAAGCAGAAGAGAAATAGGTTAACTCATAAACCAAACTACAAAATCAATTATTTTTAGCAGAATAATAAAAGGATTATTAAAATATTTCATAAATTAATTATAATTTAGCTTTTTCAACAACAAAAAATTTCCCAAAATAATTATATCAAAAATTAGAATATATAGACATTGCAATAAAAAATATATAAAAATTAAATTAAAAAAATATAGATAAAAGATAATTTATTTTATTAATTTCTTGTAAAAAAACTTTAACTTTATAATCTCTGATCTTAAATAGATTAATTTTATTTTGCAAAAATAAAGAAAATCAAATAAAAAATTATAAATGTTAAAAAAATAATATATATAAATATATATATATATATATATATATATATATATTATATTTATATATTTATACATATATTTATATACATATAAATACAAATAATTAAATATATATACATAAATATACTTATATTTACATATATATACATAAATAAACAGATATATACATATATATATCTATATATATGTATATATACATATATATACATATATATACATCTATATATATCTTTATTTTTATATATTTTTAGAAATATTAAAACAATTAAAATGTTAAATTTATAAAACAATAATTCATGATTTAATCTAAGGTTTGGAATAAAATATAATGCCTTAGTTTAAAAAGTGTTTTTTTAATTTAGAATATGGTGTATATACTATCGAAAATTTAGATAAAGAAATAGTTCAAAAATTGGAATTTTTTGATTTCAGAATTATGATTTAAGAAATAAAATTTTTATAAAAATAAAAAATAGGAAAAAATTTTTAATTTTTATATTTTTAACTTTTTAAGTAATAATTTTATTTAGAAAATGAATAAATTTACAAAGAAAGCATTTTTTGGCCTTAAAATATTTAAAATAAAGTAATTTTTTTTTTCTTTTACCAAAAAACATTAAATATATATAAATAATAAACAAAGCTAAGATAAATATATTAATTTTTGGATGATAAATAAAGATTTTTTAATATTGAATTAATAATTTAATATGCCCTTGATTATGAAGAGATAAATTATTTAAATTAAAACTAATTTTTTATTTAAATTAATGACATTTTAATTAATTTTTAAAATTTTTTTTAAGAAAATTAAGATTCTTTCTTTTGGATTTGGAATTTTTTAATTTTCGAATTAAAGTTTGAAGTTAGAGATTTAATTTTTAAATTTTAAAATATAATGGGCAATATTTTTGACAGTGATAATATTAATTAAAATGTTAAAATTTTCAGAATATAAAATATGATAGTATTAATGTAATTCCTTAATTTATAATTAACAAATGAAGTTTAAATAGAAGAAAATGCAAATTTATATTAATAAAATTATAGACTATATTAAATTTTAAACTCAATTTAAGTTTATTTTTATTATTCTTTTTTATAAAACATGTAATTTTTATTATTTTTTAAAAGGTTTTTATTGAATAAAATATAGATTTAAGTTACCAAAATTTTAATATTTTTTAAGAAAATTTTAATTTATTTTATAAATCTTTGATTAATAAGATTCAAATTATTAAAATAAATCAAAAGTTTTAAGTTTTTAATAGTACTTTAAACGATACTTAAGAAAAATAAATTTAATAATTAAAAGACATTCCTAATTTAAAATAAGAATAATAAGAAGATACATAATAAATAGAATTGTTTTAAAATATCAACTTCCATAATGAGTATAATAAAAAAAAGAATCAAATGAATAATCAATAAAAAGAATTAATAACTACATATGATTTCTAGAATAATAATTTATAAAATTATTCTATCGAATAAAATTTTGATTCTTAAAATAAATAATCTAATGGTTATGATTGTGAATAATGTGATTAAGATTTTTAATAATTATTTGAATAAAATAGTTAAAATGATAAAGTTATGTAGAATATATCTAATATAAACTAAAGTTATAATTCTTAAAATTAATAATCATTATTTTGATATTATAATTATATATAAAAAATAATATAAAAAAATTATTAAATAAATATTTAAATAAATATATATATATATATATATATATATATATATATATATTTAATTTAACATATTAAATATAGAGTCTTTTAAACAAAAATTAATAAAATTAAAATTTAAAGAAAAATAATATAAAAAAATTGATATAATATAATATAATATAATTTAATATATAAAATGGTTCTAACATAAAAACAGAAAGAAGAATTAAACTTAGCAATATTAGAATATTTATAAAAGTAAAATTACACAATTACATAAAAATAATTCGAAGAAGAAGCAAATATATCTCAAAAGCAACATCAAAAATAAGATGAATCTTAATAAATAAATACAAAAGACATATTAGAAAAAAAATGGTTAAGTATAATCCGATTATAGAAAAAAGTCATGGAATTAGAATAAGATAATTAACGATTATTAGAAGAAAACACAAATCTGAGGCATAGACAATAAAAAGGCAACCCAAATTAAAAAAATACCTAAAATATATAATAATAATAATAAATTGAAGAAAACTATATACCTAAAGAAATTCCTAAACATATAATGTAAGGACATCGATCTTCAGTTACCAATATAGCATTTCACCCTACATATAGTATAATAGCCTCTTCTTCAGAAGACGGTTCTATTAGGATATGCGATTTTGAAAGTGGTTAATTCGAAAGGGCTTTAAAAGGACATATGGGGACTGTAAATTCCGTTTCTATTGATTCTTCTGGTAAGTATTTAGCCTCATGTTCATCAGATTTGACTATAAGGGTTTGGGATCTTAATTAGTATTAATGCATTAGGACTCTATATGGACATGAACATAATGTTTCTGATGTAAAATTCTTACCTAATAGTGATTTCCTGTTGAGTGCTTCTAGAGATAAGACTATTAAAATGTGGGAAATATCATCTGGGTACTGCAAAAAGACATTTGAGGGTCATGAAGAGTGGGTAAAATGCTTAAAAATAAACGATTAGGGGAATTAATTTGTTTCCGGAGGATCAGATTAGTGCGTTATGGTATGGAATATGGAAAATAATAATCCTATATTAATTTTAAGAGGGCATGAGCATGTCGTAGAATGCGTAAATTATGTTTTTTTGCAATTTTAGTGTATAATTTCTGGTTCAAGAGATAAAAGTATTAAAATATGGAATGGAAATAATGGATAATTAATAAAAAATTTATTAGGACATGATAATTGGGTTAGAAATATTAGTGTACATAGTAATAATAAATATATTTATTCGTGTTCAGATGATAAAACTATTAGAGTTTGGGATTTAGAATAGTTTAGGTAAATTAGAAAAATTAATGAAGCTCATTCACATTTTGTTAGTAGTGTGATTTTTAATCCACTTTATTTTGTTTTGGCTAGTGCATCAGTAGATTTAAGTGTTAAAATTTGGGAACTTAAAGATTTTTGATTTATTATTAGTTTTTTTTTTAAAAATATATATATCATAATATATATATATATATATATATATATATATTATATTATATTATTTAATTTTTAATTAAATTAAAATAAAATAAAAATTTATTATATATATTTTTTTTTATATATAATAATATTATCTTAGTTTTATATTAAAATCATTTTATTTAATGATTTAATATATACTTATAATTAGGTATTCTTTTTTATTTTTATAATAGAATATTAGCTTTTATTTTATTAATTTTTTTTTTATATAAATAAACTTAATAATCAAGATTATATTAAGGGAAATAATTTTTCCAATTATTAAATTTATCAAAATTTAAAAATAAAAATAAAAATACATTATCTTTCTCAATTTTTTATTATAAAATTACGTCATCATTTTTTTGTTATTAAGATATATTTTTATCATTATTTAAAAATTAAATTTTTGGTGACTTATTATATTTCTTATTTTAAAAAATAGATGAAACCTTATTTTTATTAAAAATATTTGAAGAAATTATATTTTTTTCGTCTTAAATATTTTATTAACTTTATATATTAATAAGTTGTCTATTAATTATAGAATTTATATTATAATTATTATTATTATTATTATTATTATTATTATTATTATTATTATTATTATTATTATTATTATTAATATTATTATTCTTAATTTATTATAATTTGTTTTATATATCATTCATTTAATTTTATATTCCTTACAACAGAGATTATTATAAATTACTATTTTATTATTATTTATTTATTAGTTCTATAGAATAAGTTAAATTTTCTGTATAGAAACTTTTATTTTCCTCATCTTCTTCATCTTCAGATTCTTCTAAAATTTCTTCAATAACCTAATCATCTAAACAATTATAAGTTTACAAAAAATTTACTTTCTCTTTATTATTCATTTTTACATCATATTACCCATTTTAAAATAATATTTTTTCACTTTAGTTATAAAAAATTTGATCATTTTTTTCATAAATGTTATCTAATATAATGTCTTATTCAGAATCTTAAGAAAGATTTACTTAAAGTGTTATTGAAGAATTCTAAATAAAATCAAGAGATTATTATGTATTTCTAATATTTTAATTAATATAAATATTTTTTTTTTAAGAAAATTTCCTTTAAAGGACTTATTAAATGACCTATTTTCTTAAATATTTTAATTTTTGACTTATATTTAGTCTAATTAATAATGTATTAGTTTTTTTATAATTTTTTCTTTAAAATAACTATCTTTTTTAATTAATATAGGTATATTTGTATCTAGATATAATATACTCTTTCTTTTTTTGATAACTAAAAAAATGATAAATATTTATAAATAAATTTATATTTTTATATATATAAATATATATATATATATAATTATAAACATATATATATATATTTATTTTACTGTAAATAAAAACAATTCTGTATTTAATGTTAAAAAGATTTACATGCAAAACATTATAAATAAAAAATATTCTTTTTAGAAAATTGAATTTAATCTTTTATCATATAAAATGTCTCTTTATCTTAAGGAAATTATTCTAAAACTTCTAAAAAATCATTTCTTTCTATATATATTACAAAAGTAAATTCTGTACATTTACTATCATTTTATTAAGGTAAACCAGTAAAAAATCCTTAATAACCAAACCATTAATTTTACTTTATATATTTAAAAAATTTATTTTTTACAAATATAAGAAAATTTATATTTTTTATATATAAATATATAATATTTTTATTAAATAAATTTTAATTTTATGATATTATATTTATAATATAATTGTTTTAATTAATATATAAAGTAAAAAGATTTTTTTATAAAAATAATTAATTAAAAAAATAAAAAAATAATAAAAGATATTAAAAATAAATTAAATAAGATATAAAATAAAATTTTTACAAATAATATATATTTAAAATAAATATAAATAAAATAGATATATTTATATATAAATATATATGTATATATTTTTTTTAACATAATTTAAAAAATAATTTAAAATTTTGTTTATTTTATATTATTTACTTTAATTTAAGTTATTATAGGAGTTTATTATATGTTAGGAATATATTCAATAATTTAACCTTCGCGTATAAACATAAGCTTATTATTAAATTAACCTTTTTAATAAATATTATTATTAGGAAAATATGATTATTCTTTAAGCTTATAAACTAAACTATTAATTAATTATTAAGAAAAATATTTTTTTAAAAAAATATTAGTTTTAAGAATGTTTCCATAATATTCTTTAAATAAAGAATCTACTAAATCACATGAAATAAACTTATAAATAATAAAATAATATATATATATATATATATATATATATATATATATATATATATATATATATATATATACAGAAAGACAATTCTAAGGCAACTGTGATATTTTTTCTTCCATTTTTTTATTATATTATATTTATTATAATATTCTATTTTATATTTCTCTACTAATATTTCTTTAACTCATATATTATTATATATTATAAATTTATTTCCTATATATTTTAAAGTATATAATTTATTATTTTTATATTTATATTTATATTTATATTTATATTTATTTATATTTATTTATATTTATATTTATATATATATATATAAATTTAATTATATTTCAAAATGTATATATACATATTTTATATATTTATATACTTTAAACTAACTTATTTATTATAATAATTTTAAACAATAGTATTTACTGTTGATATACAATAAGTAAACATGCCACTAGAAATAACAGAAATAATACAAGACACTATTTTTTCATAATAAGAAATAGGATGAATATCTCCATAACCAATAGTTGTCATTGTTGTTACTATAAAATAAATGCTTTAAATATATTTTTTTAAATTATTTTAATCTTAAAATTAATTAAATTATATCCAGTTATCTTAATCTAATCGTGAAACTCCAAAAAAAAAGCATGCTAAAATGTGCGAAAGTAAAAAAACTCTAAAAAAAACCATAAAAAGTGTATATTTATGAAAATATTTTTCTTCTATTTATAATTATTGAAATACGAAATTCATTTCACTTTTAAATAGATATAAACAAATTAAAAATGTTAATATGCTATGTTTAAATGATAAAACTGAAATCAAATAAATTATATTTACCCAATATTTAGTATACAAGTAGTTTTTAATTATTTTTAAGCGGTCTTTTATTAAATGACCTTTCTCGAAATAGGCTAAGTTAAAATTTACATAAATATTTATAAAATAAATAGTATATAAAGGTATTAATATAGATTTTTCCATTCTTTTTTCTTCAAAGAATATACTTTCGGTATTAATAAAGGCTATAGAGTATGGAATATAAATTAATTCAAATAAACTTAAAATTTAAATTATTATTTTCCAAATAATTAAATATTTATTATCTGGATTTATTATAAATGTTTCATTTTTTTTAATTAAAAGATTAATTTTTTCTTAACTTTTATTTAATTCATAAGTTAAATTCATAGCCTTGTCCCCAAAACTCTAAAAATATTATTCTGGTATATTTTTAAACCTCCTAACTATATTAAATTCTTCAAATTTTTAAACAATTTTATTTACCATACGTATTTTTAATAACTAATTCCATTTATTTAATACTGTTGGCGACTTTACACATTTTTCTAATTTTTAATGTTCTTATAGTAGTTTTATTATTGGAGATTTTTATCTTTAGGTTAAAAAAGGAGATTCCGTATTTATTCTATAACTATAATTTTTCATAAAATTAATTTTTATTTTACACAAATATATAATAATTTTTTGTTTAAAAAAAATAACCTAAACAATAATAAAAAAAAAAATAAAAAAAAAATAAAAAAAAATAAAAAAACAAAAATATAAAAATAAAACAAAACAAAAATTAAAAAAACAAAAAAATATATTAATTATTAAATAAAATAACAAAATAACACATTAAATTTTTATTTATAAAAATAAAAAAATAATAATACATAAATATACAAAAAAAAAAAAAACAAAGCAAAAAAAAGTTAAATGGAATTATAAAAATATAAAATTCATTATTTAGCTGAATTTAAAAAAACTTATACATTTATAGAAACAATAGAAACACATGCATTTGGTGAAGTCTAAATATATCTTTAATAATAGACTAATTAGAAAGCTTTAATTAAATAAATTGACACAAATTCAGTCTAAGAAAGGGAACAATTACTCTAAAAAATTCAATAAATAGTCACTAATATGAACAAATGTTCAAATTTGATTCATTTAATAGGCTATACAGAGCTTCCTTAATACAATGATGATTAAATAAATACATTTTATTTAGTTTATGAGCACTTTCCGGATACTTTAGATAAATAATGGCCTATTTTAATCAAAGAAGAGGGTATAGGAGGATCTTGTAAAAAGTATTTTGCTCAAATATCCTATGGATTATTATGGTTGGAGTAATAAGGTGTAAAACATGGTGATATATGTCTTGAAAATATAGGTATATGTAAAGAAAATCAATAAATAAAGCTGATTTTTTCACATTTCAAAGAAACTAATTTATGCACCTCATATTCTTCTGTAAACTTAAACATTTTTAAAAACGAGGAAAATTGTGATGTTTTATCTTTTGGAATTTTAATGTTATTTTTAGGTTCTTTTAGGCATCCAAAAAGAAAAATGGAAGATCTATAAACAAATAAAAATATGCTCTAGTCTTTATTATAGAATAATATAGATATAAGAATACCTTATACTAAGGAATTTTGGGAATTAATGACTTAAATGACAAATAAAGATAAAAAAAGTAGAATTTAAATGCAAATTGTCTATAATAAATTAAAAAATATTACAGTTTTTAAATAAAATGAAACTCTTTTTGATGATTAAGATTTCTAAAAAGTTCAAATTGAAAATTTAAATATTCCCTAAAATATACAATAAGATATATTAGAGTTAAAATAAAAGCCATTCCAATAAAGAGCTTAAGTAATAAAAAATGTTCTTTTTTCAAAAAAAACGACCATAATAATAATAATAAGTATTAAACTCCTTTAAAAACACAAGCAGCTATTCCTTAAAAGAGCCATTATTTTTACACTACTCCTTAAAGTGAAGGTTATTAATAATCTTCTAAATGTAAAACTTAGAAATTTCAAAATTATTACGACAACCGTATTTCCCGCACGAGTTTAAATCAGTGTGTATTTTCTAAGGAATTCTTCGCCAATTATATAAGGAAACTCGAAGAGGACTTAGTCTACTAGAATTTCCAAGAACAAAAACTAAAAGAAGGACTAGTAAGAAAAGAATATCTAGACGGCTCCATTTATTTAGGTGAATTAAACCAACAAGGAGTAAGATAAGGTAGTGGAATATACTATTATAAAAAAGAAGGTATAACCCAAGAAATATATGCCGGTGAATGGAAAGATAACTTATTTGAAGGTTATGGAGTATACCTTTTTGCTTCCGGAGATAGATATGAAGGCCAGCTTTATTAGGGTTAAAAAAATGGAAGAGGGTCTTATTTTTATATAAACGGGAATGTCTATGAGGGAGATTGGGTCAATGATTTAAAATGCGGAAATGGAATTTTATACTTCACATCTTTTGGAGAAAAATATGTCGGAGATTTCAAAGATGGACTAAGACATGGATAAGGCTCTTATTATTTCAAGAATGGGGACGTTTTTAATGGAGAATGGGCTTTTGGATTAAAAGAAGGAGGAGGATAAGTATTTTTTGCCGACGGAAGTGTTTTTACAGGTTTTTGGAAAAAAAACTATCCTCATGGAAATGGTAAAATGAATTATGCAAATGGTGATATATATGAAGGAAATTATGGTTTTGGATAAAAGAATGACGATGGAATTTATTTGCATTAAGATGCTAATTCTGCATATTAAGGAAAATTTAAATTAGATGAACCTGAAGGTAATATATATAAATAATAATTTATACATTAAATATATATAAATAAATACAAAATAATATAAAAATTGATATATTTAAATATCATATATTTATTAATAAATATATATATATATATATATATATATATATATATATATTTTTTTGTATAAATATTTATATACATTAATATATTTATATATAATTTTATTTTTATTTATAAATATATTTCATATATTTTTAGGTTTAGGTGTTTTTTAATATAAAAATGGAGATGTCTATGAAGGATAAGTAAGTAAAGGGTATAGATAAGGAAAAGGTGTTTATGTTTATGTTAATGGCGATAAATATGATGGTGAATTTAAAATGGATAAAAAGCATGGTAATGGAATTCTTTACTTTGCAAATGGTAATGTTTTTGAAGGATATTTTGTTTTGGGATAAATGAAAGGTTTCGGGAAAATGACATATGAGTAAATATATATATATATATAAAATTAATTATACATATTACATATATATATATAATAGAAACGGAGACATTTATAAAGGAAATTGGTTAAGTGATTAAAAACATAGTAAAGGAGAATATATTTGGTCTTCTGGTGAGAAATTTTAAGGCTATTGGAAATTCGATAAAATAAATGGAAAAGGTGTTTTTGTTGAAAAAAACACAAATACAATTAGAGGAATCTGGTAAGATGATAAATATATTAATACAATATAATGATTTAAATAAATTTTATTATATATATATATATATATTTTCATTATTATTATTAATTATTTTACATACTTTATAAAATATTATTTCTACAAAATGGACATATTTAATTATTTAATAACCAAACTTATATACATTCTTAATGAAAATAATGTTTACAAAAAGGCATTTCTACAATAATTTATTCACTAGAGTATTCTATTAGACAAATAGAGCATTTATCTTCCCCTTCTTCATTTTCCTTTCCATATTAATAATTTTTTAATTTATTTATTTCTTCTTAATTTAACCCCCTTTATACTACATTATTATTATTTATATTGTAAACATCATTTACAAGAATAAAAAGTGCATAAGTAAATAAAAAGCTAAAAATTATTTATAAACAAAGCAAATTTATAGCCAAAACAAAATTAAAAAAATATAACGAAATTTTCTAAAATAATAAATCTTCACCAAATTCGTAAAATATATGTGTTTTTTCATATCCATTCAATAAATAAATTAAACTAAATAAAAATGTAATTTCATACTCATAATAAGATCTACCTTTTAAGAATCGAATTATTACTAAACATTGCTCTATTCTTAAAAATAAAACTAAACAATTGCAAAATATTAGCCTGTCTAATTATATACTCAAATAATTCCATTATATATACGAGTATATTGAATATGACAAAGGTAATATATATGCATATATGATAAATAATATTTATTTTACGGATTCTAAAATTTATTTTGAGTGCATTTTTATATTTATTTAAAATATTAAATCAAATCAAATTAAATTAAATCAAATCAAATTAAATTAAATTAAATCAAATCAAATTAAATTAAATTAAATTAAATTAAATTAAATTAAATTAAATTAAATTAAATATAAAACTATCAATAGTGATTTTTTATAATTTTATATATAATACTAGTTTAAATATATGAATATTAGTAAAGATTGTGAAAAATTTAATAAATATTAAAAAATAATATATATCAATATTAAAAAATAAATTAATATAAAAATAAGATAAAAAATTCTAAAAAAAAAATATAAATTAATTTTTTTTATTAAAAAAAAAATATGTAGCATTATTATTTCCTCTTAACGTTTTGCCTTAACTTTATATTGTTTTTACAAAAAGGTATATTTTCCTCCTCTAAGCCTCCAACTTTAGAACTCTAGCGAAAAATCCTATCAGCCTGGTAAACTAACTCTACAACGCATTCAAATAATATATGTTTCAAACCTTAACATTCCCGTCCTAAATTTCCTATTATCTATAATATAAGTTTACCCGTGAATTGCAAATAATAACCTTTAGTAAAACTCTATTAAGAATGTATATTTAAAAATCTTGCCTATACAACCCGTTTATATTACGACAAAGATTAAACTGAAAAAAAGCTAAATGATTAAAACCCAAAAAATGTGAAAAAATCCGAATCATTTTTTACTCTAGCTTTAGATCTTTCTATTCCCTTTTCATGGGTGAAAAGTTCAGTTTGCTAGACTTGTGATAGAATGGGAAAAAATTGTGTATAGAACTGTTCATACGGATTAAACAAAACAGCTTTATATGACAAAACATTCGCCTGTTAAAAATGTTCCAAAACAAATAAATGCGCAGAAATAGATTCATATGCCGAAGGCATGTCCGTAATCGGTTAGTTTGTCGAAGTTGAAAATTTAAGGTTTCCCAAATACCCTTATTTAAAACTAAAAAACTAAAAAATCCTTTGGGCTCATGCCCTTTCTGGTTAGCAATTTTTAATGGCAGATGGGGTTTTAGGATTAGGTAAATAATATGATGAAATGAACGGAGGTTATGCCGACGAAGAAAATACTAAAAACAACATAGACGAAGAATTCGAGAGTAAAACTGAAGATGAAATAGAAGAAGATAATGATATTTAAGACGAAAATTAAAAAAATCCTTCCAATATGTATTTATATAAAGAGGAAGGAATTTCATTATTGGAAACAATTAAACAATAAATAGAAGATGTAGACGCTTAAATTTTCACTTTATATATATCTGATGATGCTCATTATCCCATGCATATAGGATTCGGCAATTATACTACTTAATATATTCATGAGCCGGAATAAAACTAAATTAAATGGATTTATTCACCTTAACATACCGCTATGGAATCCTAGTATAGCCTTTGGATTATAAACATTTAATATATAAGAATAGTGAAAAAAAATATATAATAATAAGATGAAAAAAAAGAAAAAGAAGAAGAGCTTTATGAAGTTTTGGAGCCATTAGATAGTATAGAATTAAATACAAATAAAGGCTTATTGAGCCTATCTACGACTGCTTTAGTATTACCCGGAGTCCATTTAAATAAAATATTATAACTTATAGAAAGCAATTTAAATATAAAATGTAGTATAAGTAAATAGTATTTATTTTTTGTAGTGTGTGACGAGGTCTAATCTTTGAGTGATTTCGACGATTTAGCAATGGTCATAGTAATAGGATATTACCAAAAAGTCCATTTATAGATAAATCCTAGAGATTTAATACTTGACTGCAAAAAAAAAAGTAAAAGCAAATATTCAACATATAAATGCATACTCAATTTTTAATAGTCTTATGATGATAAAATAATATTAGGAGAGGCTACTTTAAGAAATTAATATTTAGTTTTCGAAATGAACACTAAAATGATAGGATTTGCCCCTGCTAAAAATAAATTTAATGATATGAGTTTTATTTAAGAATTAGAGTATTTATTTGAAATAGTAGAATAAGGATTTGCAGCTGATTTCCCTTATATATTAGGTTTATTATGTTTTAGTATTACCGGAGTAGTTATATTTTTAGTTATTAGGTTCAAGAAATATTTTAAAATTAGAAAATTAATTATTGCTGAGGAAAAGAATGATGTTAAACCTTTATTTAAATAAAATGAACATTAAATGAGTGAAGAAATGTATAAATAATTGTAAATGTAAGAATCGAAAGATGATAAAGATACAAGTTTATAGCCTACTTAAATTGGGGAATATTGATTTTTTATTTACAAATGTTTGTATGATTTATTTTATTTATAATAATAAAATATTTTAAATTATAATTTATTAAAAAAGCAATCATTATATTATTGTAAAGAATACATTAATAATATATATATATATAAAGTATATATATTTTTTATAAAATATATATTAAATTTAAATATAAATTATTATTAATATAATATATTTTATTTATATAAATATATAATCTTTTATATAAATATATTATATTTTATTTAAGATTTTAAAATATTTTTTTTTTTTTTAAATAATTTAAATAATTATAATAGTACAAAAAATAATTTTAATTATCCTAAAAAAATATAAAATTTAAATTTAAATATATATATAAAAAAAATGCTTTAAAATTATATAAAATATTATTTAAATATTTATAATATATATAATAAAATTTAAAAATATATATGTATATATATATATATATATATATATATATATATATTTATTTATATATTCATAAAATCAAAATATTCATATATATATTTTCATATTTTTTATATATTTGAATAACTAAATTAAAAAATAATAATTTATAATATTATTGACAATCATTTGCCCTTATTTAAATTTAAATATATAAAAATAAAATTTAGCTCAAAACATATTTTAAAAACAATAAAACGTCAATAAAAAGAAGTATAATAATTTAAAGATTAAGAAAAGGAAAAATAAAAATAAAAAAATAATAATTAACCTCCAAAAAAATTAAAAAAGAACAAAAAAATAAAAATTAAAATTAAAATTAAAAAATATAATAAAAATATTAAAAAAATAAAAAAAAAAAAAACGAAAATATAAATAACTTCTACATATGAACAATACAAATGTAAAGAATCAATAAGAAAATTACATATAATAACTATAAAATCCTTAATAAATTCCTTTTTTTCTATAAAAAATAAATACTGATGAAAAAATAATTAAAAAAGCTTCTGTATTTTTTTAGGAAGAAAACAAAAGCTTATTTGACCAATTTTCTTTATTCCCTCACCAGCAATTTTTTTATAAAAAACTCTTAATAGTATCCCTAATAATACTTATATTAACCCTTCTTATAGTAATGTAATCCTGAAATACCAAAAGCTTTCCAAATAAATACAAAAATAGAAGAAAAAACTCCATAAAAAATTCTAATTTCCGACTTTAAAATATTCCCTTGTACAAGAAAAGACCCACATGATAAAATAAAATGTCCTTATTTTCATAATGATTCAGACAGAAGAAGATCATTGTAAGAATATTAATATTCTTTTAATTTTTGTCAAAGAAAAAGCAAATGTGCTTATAAAAAAAACTGCCCGTAGTCACATAATAAAGTCGAATAGCTATATCATCCATTAAGATACAAAACTAAATTTTGTGAAGACTATATATAATTTGGAAAATGTACATACGGTTCTTTTTGTTGCTTTGCTCATTCAGAAGATGACATAGTAATTCCTTTATTAGATAAATTAGAAAAAAATGAAATTTTTTATATGTATTTTTATAAAACTGTATGGTGCCCTAATACTAAAGAGTAAATATATATATATATATATATATATATATATATATATATATATATTTTAAATAAATAAATTATATTATATATATATATATATTATTTACCTTTATTTTATTTATATATAATAATTTATATTATATATTTTTTAAAAAAATTATTTAAATTTTTTTTTTTTATTATTATTTATAAACTAGTCATGACAGATGTTCTTGTCCTTATATGCATAATGTTTAAGATTTTAGAAGAGATCCTAAAAAAATAAAACTTATTTAAGAATAATGTAGTACTTGGATTAAAGATAATATTAATAAATATATAGACGGATAATGTGAAACTTAATTAGATTGTAATTATTGTCATGGATGGAAAGAGTTTAATTATCATCCTTTAATTTATAAAACTAAATAGTGCTTGAATTTGAATTGTAATGAAAATAAAGAATGCCATTTATATCATAATGAAAAAGAAAGAAGGCATATTATAATATAAAGTATATAAATTTATGTATATATATATAAATATTTAGAGTTCTAAACGAATAAACATATAATTAAGGCTTAGATATTGCTATTTAAATTACATAGAATTAAAAAAAGTATTATATTTTAAAAAAATATATTATATATAAAATAAGGTTCAATGTTATACAATAATTAGGTGCTCCATAAGATGTTTTTTTTAATTAAAATGAAATAAAAATGATGAATTTAAAAATTAAAAAATAATTTATGAAAAATTAAGATATCTAAATAATAAACAATAATAAATATGAAAAAAAGCCAATGTATGTAGAAGTTTTAAATTCAAAATAGGTATTTTAAGAAAAAAATCAAGAACAATTTTAAGGAAATTAACGTTTTATAGAAAATGATTAATAAAATACAGAAAAAAAAAACTTTTTTATAAATTTTTAATAAAATTAAATGAATTATGAATAATAAAATAATTGTAAATTATAATAAAATCTTCCAATTTTTTAATAATAATAATAAAATTTTCCAATTTTTTAATAATAAATATAATAATAAAATTTTCCAATTTTTTAATAATAATAATAATAATAATAAAAATAATAATATTAATATTAGTATTAATAATATTAATTATAAAAATATTAATAATAATAAATATTTTAATAAACTTATGTATAAAATAATTAATCTTTTAAAAATTATTTTATTGAAAAAATAATTAATAACTTTTAAATATTTTATATTAAAATGGTTTTGATGAAGATAAAATTAAGAAATTAAGTTATTAAGATATTTCATTTTTTTAATTTTTAAATGAAAACTAAAAAATCAATTTATAAAAAATACTTAATTAAATTAAAGATGATGAAGATCTTCCTATTAAAGAAATTAATTCTTATGTAAATGGTAATTTAAATATAATATATATATATTCTATTATATTTTTATAGATTTTAATATTTGAACAAACAAACAAAAATTTTGCTATTTCTTTTAAAATTATATAAATTTAAATAAAGTTTAAATTATTATAGATAGATATATACATATATATATAAAAAAATATATATAAGAAAAAAAAGATTTTTTCCTCAATTATATATATAAAAATATTATTATATAAAAATTATTATTTCTATTGTAAAAATTATATAATAAATTTTGTTTTGTATATATTTAATTATATATTTTTATTTTTATTTTTATTTTATTTTATTTAAAAAAATATTTCTAAATATATATACAAATGTAATTAAATATAATTTTTTATATATTTTTTATTAATTATAAATGAAACATAAAATAAAAAAGATTAAATTAAGAAAAATTAAAATAAGCAAAATAAATCATAAAAAAATAATAATTTATATATATATATTTACAAAATAAAAATATCATATATATAAATATATATATATATTTATATATATATTTATATATATATATATATATATATATATTATACTTATATACAATTAAAATAGTCATATTATATAAACCCTAAAATATAAAACAAAGTTATAAAACTCAAACTTATTATTATAATTAATTTTTAATTTCTACTTCTTATTATAATTATTTCTATTAATTTTATTATTATTATTAATTTTAATTATTACTAACCGTGTCTTACCCAATCATAATAATATCTTATTTTTTCGGAATAAATGTAAAAAAAATATTAATAACCCCAAAAAGCTTAAAAGCACCCCATAAATCCAAAATATACCCACCTTTAATTCATTATTATTCAAACTATATTAAAGCTATTTTCCCATTCCGAAATTTAACAAAGTATAACAAATCGCATAAAAAACACTCAAAAATCCTATTACCTATCCTAAAGGACTATCTGCTTCCGGTTCTTTATCATCATTTAAATCTTTAATTTATCCTTATTCTACCAAAGCAAAAGACTTCTACACATAAGCAGCTAAATTACAATCAGAAGCTGCCCAAGTAGAACTTTCAATAACCATATTGAGTGCCAGTAATGCTACTTTATTTTACACACTAGTATCCCAGAAATATGCAAATATAACAAAAAGCCAATGTAGTCCATAAAAAAGTCCGTTTGCTCTTGAAATCCATATAAAATTCTTCACTTTATGTCCAATAATTCCTACTAAAAAAGCCCCCAATAATTCCCCGCTATTTGACCCGGCAAGAATATTTCCAGTTTATGATCCGTCTTTAAGTATATTTTTTGTATATATAGGAAGCATTAAATTTTCCTAAATTCTATGTATTACCAAAGGAATTATAAAAACTGCAATTAAAAAATTATATTTTCTATTAGGAATTACAATTTACGCCCCTTTATATGCAGTAAAGATAAACTCTTTCGTTTCCTTTGAAATATTTTTTAAAAAGCTTAATTTGTTCTTTTCATCGAAACTTGCAACAGGTGAGCCCTGACTTTAATGCTTTAAAAAAAGCACACATAAAGCCGCAAGTAAATAAAAAGGCGGTAAATGCATAAAACAGAATATAGGTCCATATCTCTAAATCATAGGAACGGATAAAAGTGCCCCAAAAACGCCTCCGATTTCATAACAAACATGCGCAAACCCATTAAATTGCTTTAATTTTGCATAATTATCTCCTATAATCTGCTTTGGAATGAGTCTTCTAACTGACTCTATGCCCCCTTAACACAAACCTATGATGATATAACATGGGAATATAATCCAAGGGTTCCAACTTCCTATTTTATAGAAATCTGTTTCCCCATTAATATCTCCTCCAGTGCAACTATTTAGTATAATCAAAAAAAGAATCACTAAAGCCATAACTATAATCACAAAAGAAAATAAAAAAGACGGTCTTATACTTTTAGTCAATCTTCCCAGCCATAAATTAAAAATTGACTAAGAAAAACCATTCACTATTTATAAAATACTCAAAACTTAAATTCCTTTTTATTTAAAAGATATCAATGTATATAATGAAATACCCGAATTCATAGTTTCATATGCAAACTTATAACAAAAAAGGGTTGAATAGTATATAAATGCTTAAATTTATTCACTTTTTTTAAAGTTATTTATAATTTCTGAAAATTTAAATTAAGAATTTACTTAAGATACTATTTATTATTTTAATTAAGGAGAAATTGTTGGATTATAATCATTATTAATTATATTTGCATCAGTTTCTTATATTGGGTTTGCTTAAAAGTTTTATTAAGGCTAGACTAACATTATATTTTTTCTTATATGTAAATATATATTAGAAGATATATATATATTAAATGTTATATAAATATATATTATAAGCTTTTTTTTTATTAAATGATTTTTTTTATTGCTAAATGTAAGCTATAAAATAATATGAGGTTTAATTTTATTTTATTTGGTGGAGGAATTAAATTTATAACTGTATTTTTTATATTTGGTATTTATTATATTAATTTATAAAAGGTGTAGATTATTATTTGTTAAAAAATACAAAATTAGTTTTTAAAATATGTTTAAAAGGTGGAGTATATATATATATAAATATATATAAATATAAATATTTTTTTATATTTATATATAAATATAATATAAATATATAATCATAATAATATTTTATATAATTAATTAAATATTCATGTATAATTTTTATTTTTTATAATAAAAATTAAACAATTATATATTATTAATTTATTTAAAATTTTTATTTGATAAAAGATATTAATTTTTATTTATTAATTAATATAAAAAATTAAAATATTAGGCAATTATGATAATATATAATTTAATAATTATATTAAATAATGTTAATTTGAATATATTTTTAGGATAATTTACATATTTTTTTTTGAATAAATTAAAAATTTAACAGATTATTTAAATAATGACAAATATATATATAATATACGTTAAATACTAAAATTATTGTGTATTATTTATATTGAATCTTTATTTATTACAAATATTTAAATTTTCTCTAATTATATATAGTTATTTTTATATAATCTAAATAATTAAAAATATATTTTCTATTTTATTATGTTTTAAAATAGATTATATTATATATATAAAAATTTTAGTATATATTTTTTAATGTTTTATTATTATTGAATTTTCATCCATTTTATTATAAAAAAATTGTTAATTATATTATATTTTTTTTTTATTTTAATATGACAAATATGACAATAAACAAATATATAATATAATTTTTTTTTTACATAGAAAAAATAAATATAAAATATAAATATTTATAATCTATATTATAAAACAAAAATTTATTATAATTATTTTAATTTAAAAAATAGTAATCTCATTTGATTTTTTTTTATTACTTTATAAAAAATTAAAAATAAAAGAATAAAATAATATAAATTTTAGTCTTTTATATTAATTTAAATTCGGCATTTTTATAAATTATTATAAATATAAAAATATATATATAAATATATATATATATATATATATATATATATATGTAATTTATTTTTTTAAAAATACATAAATAATAACTAAAATAAAGATAATTAATATAATTATATAAATATTATTTAATATAAAATGTATTTAATATAGATATATAAATATATTATTATTTTAATATTTTTTATGTTTGAAATTAATATATTATTTATTTATATAATAATATTTCAATATTAAATATATAATACAATATTTTCTTTAAAAAAATAAAAAACTATAATATTCAATTAATTAATAATAATTTGGGTATATATTTGCTTATAATTATATTTTATAAACAAAAAATAACATATTATTAATTATAAAATTAAAGCCAAAAATAAAAAAGTAGAGCCTATTATTTAAATCAAAAAAAAATTAACAATTTTAAAAAATAATATATACAGAAAAAAAATGAAACAATACGATCCATAATTATAATCAGCTTTTGATCTTCACACCTATAAAGGTCGCTTACAGCATTTTAATATGATGCTGTTTCCCTCGTATATATATTTTAAAACTATTAAAAAAAAACACATATATATATATAAAAAAATAATTTATTATAAAAAAAAGAAATTTTTTTCATTACAATTAGACAATAAAAGATTATTAAAATACTTTAAAAAAAATCGAAACAGATCCTTCTTTATAAAAACAATATTCAAACTAAAAACTATGGGAAATGAAATATGTTATACTATCAAATGTAAGAAAACTACGTTTTTTACAAATTTATATATGAGTATATAAAAATATAGACTCATCCATAAACAAAAGAATGTATTTCTATTCCTTTCCGAACAAGTGGGTTTATTATTACTAATACTCCTATAAGTTTTTTATTGGCAGTATTACCTCCTACAGTAAACAATAATTTACATATATATATTATTGAATATTACTATTTATTTAAATAAAATATAGCCAATAAATTAAATAATGAGCCAAACAATAAATTAAACATTTAATTTTTGTTTTAATTACAGTAATAGAAATTTGTCAAATATTTATAATTATAAAGAAATGACATGTAAAATAAAAAAAAAAAAAATAAACAAATAAATATATAAATATATATATATATATATATATATATATATATATATATATATATTTTTTAAAAAAAGTTTCATATTTATGCGCTATCACAGTTGCTATTTCAAGCAGTTTAGGTACTGCTGCTATTTCTCGAAGAATAACCTTTAATAAATTCGCTTAAAAAATTGTTTTAAGTATTTCTCCTTATATTGGAGTTGCTCTTGCAAGTTCATTTAATTTATTTTTTTCGAGATATTAAGACTTTATGCAATTTTATATATATTTATAATATTTTTAATAAAATAATAAAAAGTAAAGGAATATAAGTTTGTGATATTGAAACTGAAATGCCTATACGAGATTCGTGTTCTTTATAAGCAGGTAACTTTTCTAAAAAATAAAATAAATAATCAAATTAATTAATTTAGCGAAAATTGCTTTTTTTTAAGCTTTGGCAAGTAGAGTAATTATACCAATTCCAGTGTTTATGATTCCTATTGGGGGAATGAATTTACTTAAATATTATAATAAATATCCAAAAGGAAAATTGTCATAAAATATCTTTGGATCAAGTCTTTTTATTTTTTATCAATATAAATATATAATATAAATATATATATAATAATAATTATACAAAAATATATATATATATATATATATATATTTTAATAATATATTTAGCACTTGCAGCCTTAGGTTTATGGATTGGAAGTACAGTTGGATTTGCTTTATTTGAATAACAATCAAAAATACATGTCAGTTTATTAGAGGAACAATTTCATAATCTAAAAGATAAAAAGGAAATAAAATTGAATATGTAAGTTTTAATAAAGGATTATGAACAGTTTTTTTTATTACTAATTTTTCTTTCTTAATTTTTTTTATTAAATACAATTATATTTACTTTTATATATATAATATTAAATATGATTTATTATTCATATAAGATTTATTTAAATTAATAATATATGAAACTATACCTATAATAAATATTTATTTAAATTATAATTATTATTATATATAAGTTATTTAATATAAATATAATATATATATATTATAATTAAAATTATTTTTTATTTAATTATTTATAAAATAATTTTTTTTTATATAGTTATAGCTAGTTATATTTTTGCTTTAAATAAATAAATTATATATTAATTTATATACAAATATATATTAATATATATCTTAATTTAGAAATTATTTTTATAATTTTATTTTAATATATATATATTATATCTAACTTAATATATAAACTTTATTTATTTTTATCTCAAAATCATTTAATTCTTTTGAAAAATAAAATGTTATATCTATTAGATTTCCATAAAAAAATATAAAATTAATTATTTTTATATATAATATTATCTAATTAATAAATAACTTATAAATTTTAAAATTTATTAGCTTTTATAGTCTTTTTAATTAAGAAATCTTTAATATATTTTATTGAAAACTTTTAATATTTTTAGAATTTATGAAATATTTTGATTTTTCTTAATTTTTTTAAATCTTTATAATTAGATTTATATATAATTATTTATATTAATTATTATATTTAGAAAATAAAATAAAAAGTTAAATTTTTGAAATGTATTTTTTTATTAGAAAGAAAGTATTTTTCAAAAAAAAAAAAATATTGAAATAAAATAAATAATTATACATTACATATTAATTAAAAATATAAAAAAAAATAGAAAACATTATAAAATGAATAAACCATACAATACATATTTAAAAACAAATTCATATAATCTATATTAACAAAATCAAAATCATTAATCATATTATAATAAACAATTTTCTTAAAATTCAATATAATAAACATAACATAATTAAATTATATAATAAGTAAAATCAAAAAATAAAAATCTATATTTAAAAAATAGGATCACAATACAAATTAATTATTTATTCCATAAGTACATGTAAAAAAATATACTCCTTTATATAAAAATATTTTAAAATCCATTTACAAGTGGCATAATATATACTTTAAATACTATACATAAGATAATGAAGAATATTATTATCATCCTTACTAAAATAAAAATAATTATAATAAACCTTAACATGGATCATTAATTTATAGTATAGATGGAACATATGAATAAATTTAAGAACACTATTAACCAAGAAATTAAATAAGTTTGGTTTATACTATAAATCTTTTTTAATATTAATTTTTTTTATTTGAGAAGTTAATAATTTAAAATAAAACTAATCATCACATTTGTTTGTTTTCCATTTACCTTTAAATTTTAAAGATAATGATTTTGAAAGCTTATTTAGTGAATATGGATAAGTTGTTTCGGCAAAAGTAAGTAAAAAACCAGATGGAGCAAGCAAAGGATTTGGTCAATTTTTTTATCTTTTATTTTATTTTTATAATATATATTTATTATTTATTTTTTAATTAAAATATAGGCTTTATAAGTTATAATAGTTCATATGAGGCTGAAAATGCAATAAGATATTTAAACGGCTTACATATATAAAGTAAATTCAAATATAAATAATATTTTTATATTAAACTTATATAGATAAAAAACTTAAAGTTGAAATAAGAAAAGAAAATAAGTTTTGAAAATTGGAAAAATATATACATATTATTATTATACTTATTTATGAAAATATATATATATATATATATATATATATATATATT